AGTGTTGAATTTTTTTTTGCAGTATGCTGATATTTTTTGTTGATTTTTTGTCAATATTTTAATGTCAAATGACAGCAATTGTAAATAATTCGTTAATCTTTTTATTATTAATTTTTGTTAAATTCGGTAATAATTCAGTAGTTAAATGATACAATTTCAACTAGTGATAATGACAAACTGTTGATAATAAATTTAAAGAATAAAGATGCATATCAATCTTTTAAGAAAATAAAATATTGTCTCTTAGATCTGATTTAGAATACTTGAAATAATAATAAGTTAGTTATTATATAAAAAATTTTGTAATATTATAGATAGTTATAAACTTGTTAATAAAGATTAAGTCATGTAATTTAGTTATAGATCAAAAAAATATATTATTATTATTATTTAACTTCAAGTTTTTAATTAATAAAATTTTAATAAATCAGATATAACAAAAAATTTAGAATAGTCATATTAAGATAAATAAAAATTTTTGTCATATATTTCAAAATAATTTAAAATTTATTAAAATTTTAAAAAACAAATTTTATTGTAATTTTTTAATCTTGGATAAGGTTTATTTTTTAAATTTACTATATTTATCTTATTATAAAAAGAAGAAAAAATTATTAAATTAAAAATTTTTTTTTAAAAATCTTTTTTTTTTTACTATTAAAGTTCAGATTTTATTTTAATTACTATTAGTTTAAAACTGATATTCAAATTAATCAAAAAATGAAAAGAAATTAAATTGAATAAAAGATATTTTGCAATATATTTATAAAGTATTTTTAATAAAATATAACAATTTTATTAATGTAAATTATTAAACTTTTAAATAAATATTGCTTCAAAAATATAGTTAAATAATTAATAAAAAGAGTTATAATATTAATAAATTTTTAATTTAGTTTAATAGCCAATTATTTATAAAAAAACTTTTTTTAAAGAATTTCTAACTATATAGGCAATTATTCTTGAAGATAATTGAAATGCATATTATGATTTTTCTAATTTCTAATTTGAATAATATATATATAATATAAATTTTAGGATCACAATTATAAAGTTTGAAAAATTTCTATTCATCTTCAAAAATAATTACCTATATATAAAAAAAAACATTCATATAAAACTTTTTTGACTTTTCGATTAATAAAATTTTAATATTATTTTTAAAATAACTTGAAAAATATCTTCAAGAGTTATTACACTCTCTTTTCTTGTTTATAATTCACTTCGATTCAAAACTTGATTTTGTAATCAAAAAAAGTCAAGTAATACCTTTGCTATTTATGACAAAAAAAATTCTTAAAGAAAGGAAATCAACTGTAAAGTATCAAAGACCTTTCTATGTTTGAAGTAAGCTGTTATAGATATTTCCTGTAATGGAAAAGTTTATTTTCTTCCCTTATCAACTGTCCTAAACCTCTTAGGGCAATATAAAACTTTAGGTATGTGAAGAAAAATGAGATTTTGTTTGACTTCCTGAATTTGCTTTATAATTATTTATGTAATGTTACATCAATATCTTTCTTTATTAAACCATAAAATTTATTTAAATAATTTCTTTAACGTTATAACATTGTTATGATCGAAGATAAATACTTTGTAAAAATTGGTTTGATTCAACGTGCTCTCGTATTCTCGATCTTTATCAAGCATCTCTTATTCCCGGCAATACCTTATAAGATGATTCATTGCGGGAAGTGTGCAAATGTATGCATACAATCTTTAACGTTTTCTAATATTGATAATCCTAGCGTTCCACTATAAGCATTTACTAGATAATTGTTTTGTATAAAGTAACCGACGAAAGATAATTGTGAACTCTAAAAACGCAAAGTTTCACGCAAGCCTACTAGTCTTTGCATAATAAGTCTAATCGCTCTTAGTGGTAAGTGGCGATTGAAGTCCTTGCGACAGGTTAGTCACGCAAACAACTTACAAGCCTACACGACATTAGACAAAGCCTGGTTGTCTTTAAATATTATAGTAATTCTGCATTTAAAATAGATCTTATTACTATGTGATATGCATTCATAAATAATTCTTATTTTCATCAATACTTTAGATTAATAGAAGGTGATATGTTTCGTTTTATGATTGAATAATATCGCCCAGGACCTATTTTTTACATATTGAGTTCGGAGTACGTTGCAAGTTAAAAATCCGAGGTCGATCATCAGAGCCTTACGGGTTAATTTAACTTAAAAATTACCAGACGAAAGTGTCACGCGATTAGTTAAATCGCGTTTCACTTTATAATTGAAAATAAACTAATATGTAACCGAGTTGCAATCCTAAGAAGATCGATATAGTCGACATTTTATAAGCTGGGATACCCAACTCCTTGCAAAACCGCGGGACTGGAGTCTTAACAATAAAGTATGAGCCTAACACTTTGCAAGCTTAGAAAAATGAACTCGCTTAATACATAATAAGTTACTAATTCATGCAGCCGAAGCCAGTCGCACGCGATACGCATCATGCTTGACAGTTAAACATACGACAGAAGTCTCAGGTGATTTTATCACGCTTACAGTTTACCATGCGATTTAAGTCTCACATGAGGGGATTAATCGCGTTTAAGTAATTTCAAGCCAAAAAAGAGCTTTGAAATGAAACCTAGTTGCGATCCTAGGAAGGTGATGTAGTCGACCTTTACGAGCTGAGACGCCCAACTCCTCGGAACCGAAGTCTTAGCGATATATAATCGCGCCTGACATTTTACAAGCTTGGATAAGTGAACTCGTAAATTTAAGAAAGGATGAAGCGGGATCCTTATAGATGGATGTAACCAGTACCCTTGTAAAGCCGGACCGAAGTCCCGCCTAACCGCGATTAACAGAAACCGTAAGTCTTATACGACAACTGTGCGACCGAAGTCACATAATACTGTCTAATTATCCTTAACGGTTAAGCTGCGATGGAAGACCTCGCGGTAGGTTAAATCGCGCATACAGCTTTACAAGCCCATAAATCCGTAAGACATTTGATTTGACTTACATTATCTTTCGTTCTACATTAAAGCAAATCAAATTAATAATATGTAATATTGCGCTCAAGTACTTCTTATTTCGTCAACGGTTATGGTGGTACGTTTCGTTTTACGGCTAGCTCATGGTCAAATATATATAATCGGAAACTTATCTCACATAAAGTACCTATGACAAAAAAAATCATGTAAGTTCTAAATACGATGCAAAAATTCGAAGTCTTACGCACGACCGAAATCTTGCGCAAATGAACCAGTCTAATAACGAGGTAAGTATATCAGAAGAGAGTGAACAGCGTGGGAACGTTTTATGGATTTTCTTATCAGAATGATCATGGATTCTCACGCTATCATGTACCTCATACGTAATTTGTTTCGAACACATTACGCGTCAAGCCTCATGCTGTGATAATCTGTGATAATTTAATCGATCAAAATTTAATTACTGTATAATATATACTGTGAAACTGGATATTGTTATCTAGGTAATTTTATTAGTAAAAATTCAGAAAAAAAACCCTCTTTATATTCAGGTTCACTGTGTATATATAAGTTGCTCTAATTCGGATCAGAAAAATGTGGACACCTGGAACTCGTCGAAAAATTCTTGAAGAGTCTTTTTCAACATTACGGGAAGAATTCGAACTTAATCCAAAAAAACCTTCGTTCAAATTAACGTATACGGCTTCCAAAATCTGGCCCCACCGAGAGAGTGCAACAAATATTTTAAAACGTTCGTCAACTAACAGTAACAGCTTAACAACTCCCATAAGAATTGCAATTTTGTCTGCTTCTTTTAACCCTCCTACAAAAGCTCACCTTCAACTGCTTATACAGTCAGCAATCGATGTTAAACTTGATTTAAAAAGGATTTCCTCAACAAAGGATGTGTCATTCTTTGACGCTTGCCTCTTACTTTATTCTGCAAATAATGCAGACAAACTTGTTTTACCATCAGACGCGGGCCCAATAGATAGATTGCTTATGATGGAGGCACTGGCCGCGCACATTAATTCAGTTCATTATAATGAAGTTCAAAATGTTGCTGTAGGAGTATGTAGTCATGGAAGGTTTTTGGACCAAGCAAAAGCATTACTTTCATTCTTTTCTTCTTCCAACATTGGGAATTCTAATCCAATGAATGTTTCGCTCTATTTCCTCATGGGATTTGATACCATAGTACGTTTTTATGACCCAAAATATTATTCGGATATACATAAGGAACTTCAGACTTTTTTCGAAACGAGTTATATCATTTGTGCAAATCGTGATGGATATGGCGGAGAGAAGGTTGAAGAAGAATTTTTCGAGAGTAAAACTGTTGTAGATCTTTCAGGAAAAGAAAAAGTAATTCGAGTGAAATTAGATCAGGAAATTGCAAAGATGTCCTCTACTAATGTTAGGAAATTTATAAGAGAAGAATGTAGAAGTGACCATAGTGACCGGGAGGAAAGGATTAAGAAAATTGTTTATGAGATGTGTCCGGAACCTGTTTCTGAGTTTATTATTGAGGAAGGTTTGTATAGAAATTAAAGTTTCCTGAAATGGATATCATCAAAAGTATGAATTTCATGTCATTTGTTTTAAGAACTTAATTGGTGTAAATTTCTAGCTCTGTTTCTAAAATATTATTAAATTATGGAGAAGCTTAGTTTTAATTATTATTAATTTTTTAATTTCAATTAAATATAATTATAATTAAATAACCTTATCCTTTATCAAGTTAGTTATAAACCTTTTACATTTTTTTTTTTTTAATAATGGGTTCATTCCTAACTTTATTGTTTTTCAAATTACATATATACATTGCACTAAACACAGGTACATGGATTTATATTCAAAGATAATAAAGATAACAATAAGTTAAAGCTATTTCTAAAGCTACTTTGAGGCTTATTGCCTTTTCTTTTACCCAAAAAAAACTAATATCACTTGAGTATACTGATGTCATAAAATGAAAATTAAACAGTCATATATATTTTTAAAAGTGTATTGGTCCTATTTTTTGATACATATCTATCTTGTTCCAATTCCTTTTATAAAAAAGTCCAAAGAAAAAAACTTCTACTAAGTTTTTATAGAGACAAGGTGAAAGCCAAACAAGAAAGACTTTATAGTTTTAAGGCTTGTGGGAAGAAAGTAATTAGAAAGTACTGGATGATCTATTGATAATCACATGTATGATTTGAAAGTCTTCCAATATATCATCAATTAAACCCATTTCTATCTAAATATGAGTATATTTGTCCATTTATACATCTTATTTCAGATTTAATTTCTTATAAAAAGAATAGCATCTAACCTCATAGTAGACATATCCTATTGGTAACCAGTAGTATTAGCAATTAATAAGAATCTTCCAGATTATCTGGCCAGCTCACACATCACTGCTGATATTTTCAGACTTGAGTTTTAATTAGTAAAGTAGTGTTAACCTTCCAGTCTTTCAACTTAAGATTTTTTGAAAATAGAATAAAAACTTTCTAGATTGTTTTGTGAATAAGTTTTATCATTGAGTATTCCTGATAGTTCCATGCTTTCTTTGATTTAGACTTTTCCAAGTAGTAGAGATTGAAACCTATCTAACATATAATCAGGATATAGATAGCTCTAACTTAAAAAAAATCAATTGAGCATCTTGCGATTTTTGCTATGGTTGAACAGACTCTTTCTTGTACTCAATAATGTATTAGTAACATGTTCTATATCTATTCACACTAATACTTATGATAGACTTCAAGTTCTTATAGAATTGAGAAAATACATTTAAATACATAAAGTAGTCAATAAGAGCTTGTTTATCAATCTTGTTCAACATGTTTCATATCAATCAATTAGAATCAATGAGATTCATGCTATCCAAAATTTCAGAATTAAGCTGAAATAGGTAAAATTTCTAGAAAATCATAAAAAAGATAGCTTTTAAAGGGCACAATATCAGTCAAAAGGTAGAATAGTGAGTTTTTGGACTGGAACAGAATCTTTATTATTTCTTTACTATAATAGATACTTTACTGTTAATTCTTTTTTCTTTAGAAACTTTTTTGCTATTGGTAGTAAAGGTAAAAACTGAACTTTACAAGTCACAAGAGTTCAATTTGTTCAAAGGAGATTGTAAATAAGATAAAGGAAAAGTGAAGAAGTTCTAAGAGAACTCTTTGAGTTAATTTAAAGAAAATAGTAAGACTCTATTAGTATAAAAGTATTAAAAACATCTTGCGAACATCTTTTGAATTTTTTTAATATATACTATAGTGATTATAGTTTTAATTTGAATCTGATTGATTCACAAATTGAACATAAAATATCTCAAAAAAATCTATTTAGTAAAATTAAATTTAATAACTAGTAACACTAAAATTATTAATTTTTTTAAATTATATATAATAAATTTAAAATTTAATAAAAATAAAAAAAAACTTGTTTAATAGATTATTATAAATTAATAATCTTTTACAGTTATTCAAAAATCAGTTTTTTTTATATTTATATAAGCATTAGTATCAAATACAAAAATACTTACTATTACTTCTATAAAGAACTATATAATAGACTTTTATTTAAATAATCAAAAAAAATTTAAAAGATATTGTAAGAAATAAAAAGTCAAATTTTAAATATACTTGATATTTGAATAACAATTTAAAAAAAATTTTTTAAGTACCTATAGTTAGGTTAAATCATAATTTATTAATCAATTAAAAATATAAGTATATTTTCATTCAAGTAGCATAATATATATAATAGCTAAATATCAATATCAAATCTAATTAATTTGTCATAAACAATAATAGCATTTAAGTTTGGACTTGGAATAATATTTTACTCTATAGTAGACTTTGAATAAAAAATCTTCTGATCCACTATTTCATTACTAGCAAGTTATTATTACTGAATGTCCTATTAAGCTACTAAAATATAGAAAACTACAAAAGGATGGATTAAAAAAAGGAAAAAAGTATATATAAAAATATCCTAGTAAACTACAATAATAATAATAATAATAATAATAATAAAATAAAATTCTTCAGCTTCTTCCAAAGATCTACTTCTCAAGACTTTTTTTAAATAAGAAATATCTGATTGAGATATTCTTTCTTTTTCTAATTATCTAAGAAATTTATTTATTTTTTTATCTTGATTTTCTTCTTGTATACTGTCTGAGGAGACTTATCACCTAGTGGAAACCTTTACTTCCAGAACATACTTAATCTCAATTTTCTTTGAATAGTAATTTTTTATTTATTTGTAGTAAAGAGATAATTTATAATCCAATAGAAACAGAACCATATTATTTTAATATGACATCCTCTAATAGTTATATTTAGTTAAAGAAATTTTACTGATGAATATCTTCTATTATTCAAAAAGTCGGATTTTTCAATAATTTTTTTTGCTTTATAATTGTGAGAAGATTTTGAAAGTAATAAAGATTCTTATCAATTATGATATCCTTTAACAATTTTTGAAAAAATACATTTTTAACTATAACTAAAGGGTTGGAACTAGAGACTATTCAATCTTATTACCTAATCAAAATATGAAAAGAACTTCAGTCTTGAACTTTGCCTGATCAGAATAATAAGAGAGAAGAATCTTAGCTTAAACAAAAAGCAACTTTTTTATCATCTGAAAACTTGTTACTCATATTTTATTGACCTTATAAAACTTGATTTATAGATTAATTCAATTGAAGAAGTAAAGTAGAAATGAATATTAATCAACTTTTCCTATTACTAATAATGTCATTGAAATACATAAAGTGCTTAATAGATACTTGTTCACATTTAACTACTAATGTGTTTCATATCTATCAATTATATTTTGCAATAGATTGTGTTACCCAAAACTTGGGATTAGACTGAGGTAGGCAAAATTTTCTAAAAAATCAAAAAATTTTTGTATAACTATAAGAGAAAAAAAACTGTGGACAGATACTTTAAAAATATGGTTGAATATTTGTTATTTCCTACCATACAAAATCTTTATAGATATGCTTCAATATAAAAGATTTTAAGTACTATACTATTAGTTATTCTTTCTTTTAGGACTTTCTTGTTATAGGTAGAAAAGGTATTTTTTGACTTTTTTAAGTTACTAGAAGTCAAGTTTTTGTTTAAAAATGAATATAAATAAAAAAAGAAATTTAATAGTATCTATTGCAGTAAAATTTCAAGTTTGATTTAGCAATAGTATTAAGATTTTATTAATAAAGAAATAAAAATTTTCTTGCAAATGCCTTTTTTTATATATGAGCAAAGAATTCTATATTCTTTATTTATTTATTTTCTTTTAACCCTCTGTCAGGCTAGTTATGTGTACTTTATTAAACATTTGTAAACTGTACATACAAAATAAATCGCTAAAGCTAAAAAATGCTAACTAGCTCACTTGTCTTTATAATTACTACTCTAAGTGCAACTTTGAGAGTGTAGCCTTCAACAGTTTACAATCAAGAATATATCTATCTCAATAAATAAGTTTTATAGATATAGTTCAAAGTTTATAAAATACAAAAGAGTATTACAATTAATAATACTTTTCAAAAAAGTAGAGTCTTCTAACAACTCAGATAAACTATAGATTTTTAGTACAGTCATAAAGAAATATAACAGAGTTCACAGCTCCAATTATCAGATCAAAAATTGTTGTATCCAATATAGTATTCTAAATATTCTATAGATACTATTGAAAAAGAATATACAAGATACAATAGAAGACCTTAAATTTACTTGTCAGAATCTTGAAGCAAGAAAGGCTAGAGATACAATTAAAATAGTCTTAAAACAAAGATATGAAAATCTATGAAATAAACAAAGAAAAATAGTAAACTCACTAATAGAAAAAAAGTATATCAAAATAGTTTTGAATAGGATCAAAGTTAAAAAAGAAAGATCTAAACATATTATAACCAAAAAGAATGAAATTGAGAAAGAAATTAGAAGATACCATCAAAAAATCTTCAAAAAGTGAGAAGATAACTTTGATAATCTTACTAATATCTGGAAATAAAAATACAATCCCAAAAACTATATCCATATATAGTAATATAAAGATCTTTTAGATTTTATTTCATAAGAAAAATTGAATAAAACACTTCAAATATTTCTCAATAACAAAGTCCTCAAAAAATCATAAATCAACTATGAAATGTTAAAAAAACTAGATTATGATGAAAAAAAATATTTAAGAAAAATGTTAAACATTTTTTTAAAATAACAAACAATATCTATCAGTTGGAAACAAAGTTATATCTATTTAATATCAAACTAAAGCTATGAGAATATGATTTTCTAAATACAAGACCTATTGTATTATTAGAAACTATAAGAAATGTTTCACTAAAATTCTAACAAATAGACTAGAAAATATCTATAAGCTTTATAATGTTTTGAGAGATTCTAATTTTACAGGGCTATCAGAAAAGAGCATTATAGAACCAATTCAGATTCTCAATAATATTTGTAAAAATGTAAAAGAAAATTAGAAGGAGTTGTGAATACTCTTTTAAGATAC